TCGTATAATTCGCCTCCGCTTTCGAAAAAGATTGACATGCATAAGCGTTGACGTTTTCGGGGGAGCTTTCTTCTTTGTACCAGCACAGCGCTGAGGCCTACTCTGCTCGCATCTGTATGGATCTCTATTTCCGTATTTTTGTCGAATTGCGCGAGTACTGGTGGCGACTGAAGGTGGCGTCAAAGCTCTGCAAATGCATCGGCTTGTGGAATGCCCCACGTAAACGCGACGTCTGATTTTGTCAGTCGTGTCAGCGGCTCAACAATTTCAGAGAAATTTGGTACAAAGTAGCTATATTAGGCGCATAATTCCAAAAACCGGTGGAGAGCTTTATTATCCTTAGGCAGCGGAAAGCCAGCAATGACCGAAGTTTTCCGTGGTTCCGGGCTTACTCTATTTTGCTGACAACATGGCCGAGGAACAGTAACTCTTGGTAGCCAAACAGCCGTTCGTCCGCTCTGAGAGTCAACCCGGAAATTCATTTGCTTCCAGCACAACCCTCAGCCTGCTCAGGTGTTCCTCGAAGTTTACCGCGAAGACAACGACGTGTTGTGATTATACGACGCATGTTTGCCGCTTCAGGTCAACGAGGACCATGTGCATAGCCCTCTGGATTGTAGCCGGTGCCATGCAAAGTTCGAACAAAATCACTTTGAACTCAAAGGACATCCAGCGTGATGTAAGTGGTCTTTTTTCTGTCCCGTTCATCAATCTCCATCTGCCAAACACCACTTTTTAGGTCCGTTGAGTGGGAGTATTGGGCATTACTTAGCCAATCTAAGGTGTCATGAATGTGTGGCAGGGCGTCGCCGTCTTTTTGTGACACGATTCAACCGACGATAATTCACGCAGAATCGCAGGGTCCCATCCTTCTTCTTGACGAGTACGACAAGCGATACCGAGGGGCTCTACGATGGCTGAATGATGTGATCACGTAGTATATAATCAACCTCCTTCTTAATGGTCTCGCGTAGGTTCATCGGTACTCAATAAGGGCTTTGGCAAACGGTCGCAGAGTGCGGTGCTTGGCGATTGTTGTTTACCTAATTTTCGACGATGAAAAGTAGTTTTTGTGCTGCCGCTGGAGGTTAACATTTCTTGTCTATGCGCTCGCAGATCGTGGTTGATGTTAAGTGCGGGCCCCGGTGCTGGTGCTTCGGTCACGCGTTCTGACCGCAAGCCTGTCATGCTGAGTGTCTAGCTGATTTCGGCAAAATGCTCGGTAAAAGCAACAGTCGTGCCTTTACTGATGTGCCTTGTTTCTGCAGTGGAGTTGGTGAGGAGTACAAGGGCGTGCCCATTTTTTAAGTGAGTGATAACTTTGTTCGACAGAGATGCCATGATCAAGCAGTAACTCAGGGCTTCCTTCAACGATACCTGCCATTTCTTCTAACGCGTCACTGACGGCAGTACCCACGGGGCTTGAGTAGGGCGTGAGGCTATCGGGCTCTTCGAACACACTCATGATTGCGGCACACTCAGCATTCAGATCTACGCTTACTGCTCGGTTTCTCGAAAGCGTAATCGACTGCGACTTCAGATCAATGACGGCCCCGTGCTCATTGAGAAAATCAATGCGGGGTATTACGCCTCGAGAACAGTGCTGAATTATTATAAACGTCACCAGGTATGCGTCGTCATGCATTGTGACTCACGTGGTGCACCTTCCGATTGGCGTGATTAGATGACCACTAGCTATGCGCATCTGTGCGCCATTGCACTTAGTCTTCACTTTTGATAGTTTGGTGGCGAGGCACTCACGAATGACGGATTAGTCAGCACCCGTGTCGACGAGCGCACGAACACTGTGGTCATCAATAAGTGTGTCATAATCTACAATTCTCGGTTTCGCGTTACAATTATGGTGTGGGGATTGGTCACGGCGGCGTCGTGTTGTCCCGTTCATGTGCCCCACCGCAGCATAATCATTTGATTCGTGACCTAGACTGGGAAGCATCGCTTTGTTGTTGAACACGTTCTTCCGGGTTGGTCCTCCATGACGGAGGTTCTTCGGAAGTGTTTGCCACAGCAACCACACCTCAAGTGGCTGCGGTATTTTGTTTCCCAGGCTTGGTGACGAGCCACGTGCACCGACAAATTGTGAACGACGTTCGTGTGAAGAGTGGCATCTACACGCGACGGTGGCTGGGAGAAATTCTGTGGCCTCCTTGCATGGGCACTTGAATACTCGGGAATATCTCGAGAACTTTCACCTCGTTGCAAGTAGGGTGCATATGCGCGAACCTGCGTAGACCAAATTGTCCTTAGTGACAATGGCGCTAGATGTGTCCCGCTTCTTCACCGTGGTAACACAGTGGTCACTGGTCCTGAGCGTGCCATATATTTGTCTTCCTCTGGACAGCCTGGTGAATCAGGGGTGCATGTCTGATTATGTGTGGTGATGGAACACGGCACTGCAACACGGAGTTGCCCTGGCGTGGGATTAAAGGACGTGCTGAATGGCGGGCGGCAGCCGCATATGTCATCAGTTGTGGTTCTCCTATGACTTCACATTGCTTTTTTTTTTTTCTTCGTTCAGCGAACTGGGAGCGCAGAGAAAACACAAAGGACGAAGCGAGGAACCACACAACACGAGCGCTCGTGTTGTGTGGTTCCTCGCTTCGTCCTTTGTGTTTTCTCTGCGCTCCCAGTTCGCTGAACGAAGAAAATGAATTACCAACTGGCCCACATTTTGATCCTTTCACATTGCTTCTTGGAGCCAAGCGCATCGTGAACTTCTCTTATTACACTACTGAGAGATGACAGCTGCTGTGGTTGCTAAGTAGGAAACAACATACGCAGATCATCCTGGATCACGGCTCTTGTTACGTTTTTGAAGCTATCTTCGTGCGCAATGTTACCTTGGGCGCTAATTTCTATCGAGGTCTTTGATAGCCGGTCAGTGTGCTTGCACGCATTTGCAGCGGTTTTCAATGTGACTGGCTTCCACTATGAAGTCTTATAATGTAGAGGGAGTGTCCCCCAAAACTCCAGCATAAAGACTTTCTTTTACACCCCTCATGAGGAAATGCACCTTTTTGTCTTAAGACACTTACGGGTCTGCTCGGTTAAAAAGCTGGTGCATTACTTCCACATATATTAAAAAAATATTGGCTGGGCTGTTGCGTGTGCATTTGAAATGGCAAATTGGCGCACTCCTAAAACTTATCGCAGGCTAACGAATCCAGGATGATCTGTTTGAATAGCTTCCAAGACGAGAGGGTGCTTCGGGGTTTTCAAATCACACCCTGGCGGATTCTTTCAAAGCGAAAAAAAAACACGTGTCGAAGCTTACTGACCCTGTCCCACTTTGTCGAGGCTAGCTACCCTTGTGAACTTGCCTAGCCATTTCTGGACGCCTTTCCACGGTGAGCTGTGGAACATTTGCAGCTCTCTTGGCTGCTGAAGGACTATCAGTGTCGTGTCTGAATCCGTCATGCTAGCTTCTGTCCTCTTTGTTGCCATCTCGGTAATAAAAGCACCGAACTCCAGTGGGAAATTCTGCAATCGGCGGCTTGCTCACTGGCTGATGGCAACTTCGACTGCTGGCGTAGGAGGGGGCTGACGCTCCAGCTTCTAAGGTGTGACTTGGGCTCAGGACGTCAGAACCTCCTCCAGATGTCACGTAGTCTTGCGACTAGCGTACCGGAAGCCAGAAGACGTCCTCGGAGGCAGTCACTTCATTTTGTCAGACAGGTTGCCGAAATCCTTTGTGTTAACGTCCACAAGTTCTACTGTTTGCGGGCGTAACACGTATACCACCGCTTCGTGCTACGCGCTCTTCTTAAACAAAACAAGAGCATTGTGACCCCTCTTATCGACACGTCACACAAAAAGTAATACAGAAAAAAAGTCAGTAGCGCCATGAAACACAGTGAGCAGAAGTCAATGGGTACAACAAAACGAACAGATGCAACAAATGATAGCGCATCTGCAATCACTAACTGCAGTTTCTGTTTTTATATTTTAGTTTTGTAGCGTTGTAAGGCCTCAAGTAATGCAATGAGCTAGACACCCGTTGGAAGTGTTCGCCCAGAGAATTCGCCTCGTCTTCCAGGATGTCACCTTCGGCATTTCCGAGAGGAAGTGAATGTGCTTTTCTCCCTATTATGTTGTTGACCCTGTTCCAGATTTTCCTTCCTGCGTACAGGAAATATTGCCTGGTAGAAACTTCTGCCAACTTTTTCGCCTCGCCTGTCGGCGCGTCCTACTTCCTAGAAACTATATGTTTTTAAAGTTTGCGCGGTTATGCACTGTGGAAAAGTCCCGGTGCAAGCTCCATGCTTTATTTTGCTTCTTGCGCGCTTTTCAGTACTAAAAATTCCACCATGAGACAAGTCGTTTGGTGGGCAGTCCAGACGTTTCCGGGATGCGTTGAGCTACAGCGTCAGTTACAAAGGCAGTAAGGTACTGTACAGCCACATCTATGCTCAAACACGATATGTCAATCCAACTTAAGCGGGTAATCTCATGTAACTCTTTCCAATTAGCTTTGTATGTGAGCCATTGAGGAACCTGTGGAAAGCATTGATTTGATGGCGGTCTGATAAAAAATTGGGAAACTGGTCACTTTCGAGAGGATTATTGATTTATTTTTACTGGAGCAAAAGGCAGAAATGATGCAGATACAGTGCTGAGATGTATAAATGAATACGTTTTGTCGGCGAGGCTATACTATATGGGTTCTTTCTGGCTCAACAGACATGCATCGAAAAATAACAGGAAATGCTCGATGTGGCAGTCCAATGCGCCGCAGTGAGAATCACCCCATAAACGGTCATGTGCAATCAAATCTTCAAGTACCACGTGAGTTTCTGATTGCTCATAAATTACGGACTGGAATTCGTGTTTTTCAACATGATACTCTAGAGGTATGTCCAGAGCGTTGATGGTAGCGATTTTATTCAGAACTGCTCGAACAGCCCCTGCCTCAGGAGGTGTTTGTAGTCATAGATGTGTACATGCTACACTCTGAACAACAATGACAGCCACACCCCCAGATGACACGCCTTTACGCGCTTCGCGGGCACGTAAAGCCCGTCCGGTGCACCAAATGTGCGCGCTGCGTGTCCAAAGACAAGGCGATCAAGAAGTTCGTCATCCGCAACATCATGGAGGCGGCCGCCGTGCGAGACATCACCGTGGCCAGCGTGTGCGAGTCGTACCCACTGCCCAAGCTGTACGCCAAGCTTCACTACTGCGTCTCCTGCGCCATTCACTCCAAGATCGTGCGCAACAGGTCCAAGGAGGCACGCAAGGATCACACACCGCCCCCGAGGTTCCCCAGGGCCACGGCGGACCTGGCACGTGGGCCCAATGCACCGCGTGTGGCTGTCAAATAGTGTGTGTGAATGACGCCACAGAATCATCTCGGTCCTTTCCGAATATCACACAGGAAGATAGAAATTTTTATTTTGGGATTTCGGGTGTGTTTTCTGTACCACAGCACTTTTGACGAGTGTTCGTGTAAAAGTTTTGGGACATCGTCGAGGTTTCTCAGCAGTCCTGTGACATTCCATTGTAGTATTTGTGTCTTTTTATTCTTGTGTGGTGCGGTGTGTACAAAAAGAGTTGTGTTAGGGTACAGGGCTTTTTGGGATCCCTCCAGTTCGAGGTTTTTCTTTTTTGGCGCGCTCCAAGAAGTTGCGCGTATCTTTCGCTAACTGAGGCGCCGGAGGAGTGCAACTTGTATCTATCACTTCTTGCGAGGGGGCTGATAATGCCTGCCCAGCAGGCACATTCACTGTGGTTTCGGGTCTCACTGCGCTTGCAGTAGTCCGGGGTCCGGCGGACACGGTAGTCTGCTGGCCCTGTTTGTCAGGTGGCGGAGCAGGCCCTGCTGGGGCTACTGCCGTCACACTCAGTGTGACACTTGTGGGCGCGGAAGTGTGTGGCACGGTGCCCCGTTGCGTCACATCGGCGATACAAGAATGAGATGGCTTGTGCAAAGAAAAATGTTTGCGTGTTTCTTGGAAAGACGAGTGGATTTTGATTTTCACTTCAATTATTTCCTTATTTTTTCTACGAGGGGAATGATCTTGGATTTTGAGGAGGCGAAACACACCATCACTGTTCCCGCAAAACGCTCAAGAGGCACACTTATTAAACACCCAACAGGCTTCAGAGGCACATTTATCAGACACGTGTTCCTTGGATGCACATTTGGTCCTCTCCAGCTGTGCGACCCATTACCAAAGGGCTGGCATTTGAGGCAATGACGATGATTTGGTACGTATAGTCACACACGAAGGTTACACTAGCCAATTTCAATTGATTCAGGGAGGTTGTAGGTTCTAAATGTGAAAAATATGTGCTTATTTGGAGTTTGCTTGTCATTCTGCTTAATCATGACTCTTTGTACTTTTACAACATTCAAGTTTTTGGCATCCAACGAGGAGCTCACTTTCCCACTGTTCGAGAAGGTCGCGATCAGCGATAACGCTGCGCGCTGTATTCATGGATCTATGTGGCCCTACTGACCCTGGGATCTTGGCAAAAGCTACAAGTTTTGACAGTTTCTCATTATTAAGCTCATCACAATCTTTCAGTAAACTATCGCTACTTCCCATCCTAGTTACTTTGTATTCAAGACCGATTGCTTCGGTGAGAGATTTTGACAGAAGGAATGGTGAGATTGTTCGCACAGTCTTTGTGTCATGTTGGCTAAGGATCACATGGTACTCAAAGAAGGACTCTTTGGATTGTACAAGTGTAGAAAGTTCATCGGCGCACCACCTTCTCGGGCGGTGATCAGGAAATGTGGGAAAATATTTTGTCATATAAACTTTGAAGTTCGGCGGTGATGGTGACCACTCCCCACCGAGCCCAACTAGGAGGCGCTACATGGTTGACTAGTAAACACTTGTAGATGCAAGCCATGCATCGCTGCTATAACCGAATATAACTACCCAAGGTTGCGCAACTACACAGGGTTAACCCTCATCGCCAGGAAATTTGGAAGTAAACAGAAAACAGAAGATGACAGGACTAATAAAAAGTGAGAGGTAAAGACGATGATGTAGAATGAGAGGGACAGAAAACTTTGACTGCCCATTTGCCCTGGGCGGGTCAGCCCAGAGGTTCCGACTACGTGAAGCCCAAGCCAAATGGTGTGTTGCTTTTGCCGGGGGGCCTCAGGTGCCGTGAAAGTAACCTTCAGCTTTACAATTACATACGTGCTGTATACATACTTCACAATACAACATCGAATATTGCAGCAATATTGAGGCGTACAAGCGCCCGATCCGATCGGGTGTCAGAATACGCCATCACATCACATCACATTACTTTATTTCCTTAGAGACCCCTCAAAGGGGTATTACATAAGGGGTAGGTATACAGGGTTATAGGCCCAGCACGCTCCCTCTGCGCCACTCTGCTGCACTGAGGGGTATACAGGGTAGCCAGGTGACTTCACTCGGTGAGATAGTTTGTTACATTGTCCAAAAAGTTTGGTGGATTAGTTTTGGCTGCAATGGTGGGGGCAAGGCCATTCCAATCTGTTGCTGTTCGGGGGAAAAGTTAGCAGGAAAATGTGAGGGTGCGAGCACATGGGCATGACACTTGCAATTCATGTCCGCGGCGGAGAGGTATGCGCGTAAGGTGAACGATGTAAGGTGGATGACAGAGATCACTGTAATAAAATTTGTGGAATAATGATAGCGTGGCAATACGATGACGAAGACAGAGATTATATAAACCGGATTCCGCTTTCAGTGATGATACGCTAGCTCGGTAATGATAAGTGGAAGGAATGAATCTAGCAGCATGGTTTTGGCCCACTTCCAGGGCAGATGCGAGGTAGGACTGGTGTGGACTCCAGATAGCGCATGCGTATACCAGTTTCGGTCTGATGAGTGATTTGTAGGCTAGTAGTTATCATATTGTTTTCGTGGTTTAAAGGTGGCAACCAAATACAAAAGGCACCCACGTTTGCGCCTATTTCTTTGAAGCGATACTGAAAAAAATGTTTATGCCAAGATTTTCAACTAAATTGGAAGTTTGGGCCTGAATTTAATAGAGAGAACCTCCCTTCTAGGCAGAAACTAAAGGAAAATCATGAAATAATTTGTTTTTCGATTTCTGGTGTCTAGTGGCTGCTCAGTGAACCAGACAACGTGACGTTTGTTGACGTCACACACACCCGAAATGGGCAAGTCAACAATTCCAGCCTTTGTCTGCGTCTCTCAACTCACTGAACTCTCACTTCGGTCCTCAAAACTGGTATGAACAGCAAGGGCAACAAACAATGGTTCCGGCTAAGGCAAAGCACCAGCGCCTTTGTGGAGGAGAAAAAATGTGATGAGAGAAGAGGTGGAGAAAAAAAGAGTATATAACACGCGCATCTTTTATGTTCCTCGGAAAGTGGGACGTCATGGCTCACGCTTGCGAGCAGCCGCCACACGCTGATAATGCGTCAAAAATACAACCTACTGTTCGAAAATACGGAACATCAACTCCGTTTTCAGAACAGTGGCATCTTCTGTGTCGTATTTTGAAGTTTCTTTAGTTTTTCTCATTTTGTTTCAGTACCCCTTTAAGGCCACGTAGTGGGTGCATAGAAAGCCCGACAAAATTTCATGCACTAAATGTCTGAACTACGCACTAAGAACAGCATATCGCTGTCACATTCGCGCCGAAAGGTGGAACTTCAGCGACCCCTAGTTTTTCATATTACTGATGTTATGGCCGGACAGTCACAATCGTGAACCACTTCCACCCTGTCATACTAATTTAAGTCAACCATTACTTCACGAGCTATTCACGGGAGCACACAGACGGAAACGTCAAGATAGGTACATGGATACCTAGATAGAACCATTCTATGATTAGCAGCACCGAGAGAAATGCACTGCTTTTAAAAGCAAACATATTCGTTGTCCCAATCAATTAGGCGCCTGACACGTTTTGCTTGAGCAAGTACAATGTACATATAAATGCGCCAATAAGTGACATATTCACAAACATTATTTACATTGCAATACAAAATGCAAACCCAGCAAATTGGAAATATTGCGAAACAGCTAGGTCAATAAAACAGAAGAATTAGCAAATCCTACTACCGCAAAAGTTCCATGGCCATCCCCTATCCCTCTTCGGCTGCTCAGTCATCTAAAGGCTGAACGCAACGCAGGGTGTGGGCCCCTTACGATGAATATCGGTCGCACTTACATCCAACCATCGCTCACTGCGTTCGTGGATGCTGGCGTCTCTATTTGTGTAGAAGGATGCTCCGCAAACCTTTCTTGTCTCTCTGCAACCTCTTTTCTCCCCTTCTTCTCTTCTCCAGTGCAGGATAGCAAACCGGATGTGTGTCCGGTTAACCTCCCTTCATTTCCTCGCATCTTTATATATCCCTGTCTAACACGCTGTGCAGTACCGGGGCGAGACTCAGGCTGCTAATTCTGATGATGATGAGCCTTCTTATTCTGGCGCACACCCACAAAGGGCGATCTTCAAGAACCAGGTGGCTGGAAGTTAAACGGTTATGGTTTCACAAACACAAAGTAATTCTTGATGAAATATATCTATATAAATATATATATTATTTATCCTACCCACGACTGGTTATTTTTTCACCCACTTTTCTTTCTTCTTATTTACATTCCATTGGTTTTAATAATTTCCCCTGTACATTCCTTGGCATTACTGTCTGTTATATCTGTTTAATATTGTGTTAAAACACGGAAAAACGAGCCCTTGGGTATACACTTCTTTCCCACATATATATATATATATACATATATATATATATATATATATATATATATATATATACATATATATATACATATATATATATATATATATATGTATATATATAAATATATATGTGTATATATATATACATATATATATATATATGTATATATATATATATATATATATATATATATATATATATATCATGTGGTAAACAACATATGTTGTTTACCACTCGTTTTTTTTTACAAATTGCACCTGCCAGTATTAGTACGCAAACGTGGTCGTTTGACTACTTATTAGTGTATTTTGGGTGGTATTGTTACTGGCCCAGGTTTTTTTTCTCTTTTTCTTTTTTTCTTTTTTAATGCACGTGCTATGCGTAGTACGCACACGTGGCCGTTCGGCTGCTTATAAGTGCATGATGGGTAGTTAAGCCACTGGTATTTTAGATTTTTCTTTTTCTTTCGCTTTCTTTTTTTTCTTTTTCATTGCCTCTCACTCTCTCTCGGCTGGAAGATAGCGTAAAAACGTGTCGGACCCTACTAAATTTCGTCCTATGAAGATCGATCTCCGACCAAAACATCACCAATAAACAGTTTTTAGAGGCGTATACTTACTTTTCCTATATATATATATATATATA